AAATAAAAGATGACAACGAATTTCTTCTTATGTTTCATCTTTGTTGAGTATAAAAATTTGAAAGTTAATCTCATCGATTTCAAATATTTTTTTTTTCAACTCAAATACATAGATTTTTTAAGTATGGTGTCGAAAAATAAACTACTTGACAATTTTAAGATAATATATGCAATATTTTATAATAATAATCAACTAATTTAACATTTAATGATTCAAAGAACAATTTTTTTTTGTATATATAGGGTATTAAAAATTTAAATTCTGGGGCAAGAGATAACGATAAATTTAAAGTGGAGTCATACTGAAATAAATTCAGCCAAAGAATCATTTGATTTTTTAGGTAGCCGATTAAAGTGAATTTTAAAATAAGGATAATATCTTCACTTGCATCATTATAAAGACAATCATTATTATATATATAAAGTTTAGAAATTGAAATTTCAAAATAGAAATCTTTTTGAAAGATAAAATCATACCAAATAAGAGTTCAAGTCGTAGTATAAGAGTCACGTCGTAATCAAAGAATCGTTTATATCATGTCAACCTTTTTGCTTTGCAATAAATATGAGTTATTATTTCACTTTGTGGCTATTTTTAGGTTCTAATGACACCTATGAGAATAGTGCAAAAATAAAATTATCACTCCGAGAATTGAGAAAATGTTAGTCTTTTTTCATGTAGTGTTTCTTAATTAATATCTGACGATTTACTTATTTTGAAGGTTTAAATGTTAAGGTTATTTACATATAACTCAAATAACTCAGATATTTAACATGGTTAATGTCAAATATCAAAATGGAGTAAAAAGAATTCACTAGCTAAAGGATTTTTTATATTTTTAGATAGCCAAGTAAAATGAGTTTTGAATTAAGAATAATATTTTCAATTATATTATTATAAAAATAATTATTATTGAAAAATAATGTTTTAGAAACTGAAATTTTAAGAAAGAAAATTTTTAAGAGATATTAACACACCAAATAAGAGTACAAGTAGTAGTAAAAGAGTTGAAGTCTTATCCAAAGAGTAATTCATTGTCTCAATATTTGATTGTTTTGCCATAAATATGAGTTATTATTTTGCTTCCTGACTATTTTTAGGATCCAATGACACCGGCAAGAATGGTATCAAAAAAGAAAAATAGAAGAAATGATTAATTTTTTTCATGTAGTTAATATCAAATGATTATCTATATTTACTGAGAAAGTGTAAACTTTAAGATTATTTACATACAATCCAAATAACTTAAATATTTGACATGATTAGTGTCCGCGCATCCGCGCGGATACTAATACTAGTTTTGTGTTAATAACAAAAAATCTCCAAGTTCAAGACTTTCATGCACTATAAATATATACTAAATCATATTATTTATATCATAATTATAAATATTCTTTAATAATAAATAATAATAATAATTTAGTAAATAAATTATAAGTAACTTACTATCACAAGCAAGATTTACAAATAATGTAAAAATTATTGTAGAATACATTAGTAGCCGCTTAAATTTGTCTATTATATTTTATTTTAGACAATCAAATTAAGGTCTTTTCTGATTGAGCACATGAACACATTGTAAAATACTCCTATCAGACATTTGGTTTTCTTTTCTCGGGAAGATTTTGAAAAAATGGCTCTTGATTATCTTTTTATTAACGGAGCCAGTCTTTTGTTTAACATAACGGCCTTGTTTTCAATTAATTTGATTTTTTTGTTTAACATATATATATATATATATATA